TGGATACAGAGGACCAACTATAATATGTAACCTGGTTCTCTGAAATACTACTGTTTCCTATACAAACCTGACCATGCTTGGAGGTCTTCACCTTAAGACTTACTATTGCAAAAATAAGAGGACATAAGAGCAGGCTTTCTTGGCAGCTGCTCCCAATTTCTGGAACTTGCTGATAGAAAATGAATTTTCTTCTGCAAACAAGAGACTGCCTTTTTATTCAAGCATATAAACTAGTTTGGCATATAAACTAGTTTGCTGTTGAAGGAGTTCAATAGAATAGGTACTGGCTATGTCTTTCAATGTTCTATTTTTAATGTTATGATTTTAATCAATACTTATTGTTAGCTGTATTGTCAAGGTGTCTTTGATGTACTTTTTACTTCCAAGGCAAGGCATGTATGAAATGAATACATTTGTAAATAACCTATTTGTGAATAGAGTTATCTATGTGATTGTGGTACACTAGAGTCTCGTTTATCCAACATAAATGGACTGGCAGAAAGTTGGATAAGAGAAAATGTTGGATAATAAGGAGAGATTAAGGAAAAACCTATTAAATGTCAAATTACGTTATGATTTTACAAATTAAGCACCAAAACATCATGTCTTACAACAAACAGACAGAAAAAGCAGTTCAATACACGGTAACATTATGGAGTAATTACTGTATTTACAAATTTAGCATTAAAACATCTCAGTGTATTGAAACAGCTGTGGATCCAGGCAGGAGGGAGACTACATCGGATAATACAGAACGTTGGATGAGAGAAGGTTGGATAAGCGAGACTCTACTGTTAATTGTAATACAAGAAGAAACAATTCTATATCCTCCACATGATTTCACACTAGAAAAAGGTCAGCTCCCAGATCAGAGGTATTTCTTGAAGAAATATGGAACACAGATAATAGTACTTTGCTGTGGAATAATCTTTGCCAAAAAAATGGTTTAGCCTATCCATTTGGCTGTTTGAATTTCACCAAAATAAAAGTCTAGTGGTGGTGCTCCATGCCAGGACTTCTTAAACTTTTGCTGCTCCTGACCTCTTTCCACCCAAATTATTTTATATGCTCCCAGGAATATAGGTATATAAAATAGGTATAAAATCAAACACTAATGATAATAAATCAGAATTTTCAAGGCTTGCTAAACAGGCCGATTTTTCTTTTTGTGACATACAGTTGAAGCATTTGCTTCAAAGTCCACTACAAACACTGCATGGTTTTGCTAACAGATTGGTGCAAAAGTGTAGCATTCAGAAACCTTTCACTTTTGCCAACAATGAACTATGAGGACCCCATTTGGGACCCACAGTTTAAGAAGCAGTGCTCTATACAGCACTGGGTTAAACCTGGAAGCTCTTAAACATCTTTATTCGCAACAGCTAATGCAGTCTACAAGTAGGACACAATGGCAACAGCTCTCTCCTGCAGTCGCTCTTTGAATTCTCTGTCCTACTGAACTATTTTCTTGTGCTGCCCCACATTTAATATACTCATACTCCTCTTACAGTTGCAATTTTTATTTTATGCTTGACTCCATACAAAAAGTCATGGCTTTTTGGTACACACTGACAACGCTTATAGATATATCTGTGCTCAGAATATGGTTTGGAAGTAATATCTGTTAGGAAGCAAAGAACTAGTTGGAATGGGTAAGAATGGAGTACCATGTATGCTCAAGTATAAGTTGAATACATATATAAGCTGTGGACAGATTTTGGGGCCAAAATTATAGATTTTGAGATGACCAGTGAATAAGTCGAGGGTCATTCTGTGAAATGAGGAAAGTGCCACCGTGGCTAACATTTTACAACTCTGGCATTCAAAAGGCCCAGAAGAGTAAAGGGGTTAGTGCTTGTTTTAGGTTCCTCCAGATTGGGCCAAGCTCTTGCCTTTTGCCCCTCTACTCAGAAAGGACTAGTATTTTAATAAGAGTAAAGTAAGATATACAATAATTACTTTGCCCTGTGGATGTGACCCAGGTTTTGGGGTTGATTTTTACTGTCTGTGCCCCTATTCAGAAGATTTCACCTCACTTTCTGTCCCTATGATAAATGGATTTTGAAAAATGTGGAGAATATAATTTTATGAATGGGTTAGTGTCTCAACTTGGGGACTAACAAGGCAGGGCTATCTGTTCCCTGAGGATTATTGTCTTTGTGATTACCCAGTGACTAACCCATCAGGTGGGTCTGGTGCGCATGCCCATTTCTGACCTTACAAATATGCTGTCCCGAATGATGGGATTAAAGAATCCATTACGGGGAAATGGCATTCAGGAAAAACAGTGGCAGAACCTTCCAAATGTGTTGTTGAAACATCAGGAGAGAATGCTTCTGGAACATGGCTATACAGCTCAAAAAACTTACAGCAACCTTCCAAATTTCAGGAAGGGTGCCAGGTGATCGCAAGTCTTTATGGCCACACAAAAGAAGGTTAGCACAATTCAGGGTCCGGTCATCCTTTGTGAAGTCTGGAATCAATAGAGATGGATTGATTCAGAAGATGAGTCCTTTGTTGAGGTGGAGACCAGGGAGACACAAGGGGAATCCCAGGTCAAGGCATGCCAGTAAAAGGTCACCAATGTCGCGGTGACGGCTTCATGGATCCAAAGGTATTTTATGAAATTATAAAACACAAAATATTACAACATACACACATAAGCGATCCTGTATTGCCTATTGCCTGGGGGTTTTCGGGTATGAAGACAGTGAATCCTCTGGAGCTGGCAGCTGTTGCAAGTCTTCCTCCGGCAAGCTATCGGGACTTAGGGGTTCAGTTGGCGATGTTTGAACCTCCCGCCATGGTCCAAATGAAGACTTTTGCTGAGGTGAGGGGTGTCTTGGCTTGACATCAATACTGCAAAAAATTACACTGTACAATATTAAATATTTAATTAAACTGCGAATAAAATTGTAAAAAATTGTGCTATATTAGGTATTACTCCTAAACATTCGCAATTTTTTCACCCCAGGTGTTCAGTATTTATAAATATCTTGAAGAAGTCCTTGCCTTTGGCAGCAATTTCCATAGAAAGGTCTATGTAAATATTAATATGTGTAGGACTTGCTTGTGTTGCCAGCTGTGCTGCGGTCGCTTAGGGTGAAAGCAGAAGACATGGCAATCAATAATATAAAAATACAAAGAGGATGAACAGATACAAAAAACAAAGGACGAAAAGAGGATGTGCTGCATTTTAAAAGAATCAGTGCAGCCCTTCCGAAGCAGTTGGGACTGCAGCTCCCAGCATTCCTATATTGGCTATGCTGGGTGTGCCACAATGTTTGGAGATGTCCCATTAATTTTGATCTACAACCTGTGACATCTTCACAGATTTTTTTTAATGTCAGGAATGATTTGAGAAACTGCAAGTCGCTTCTGGTGTGAGAGAATTGGCCATCTGCAAGGACGTTATCCAGAGGACACCCAGATGTTTGATGTTTACCATCTTTGTGAAAAGCTTCTCTCATGTCCCCACATGGGGAGCTGGAGCTGACAGAGGGAGCTCTACCTGCTCTCCCTGGATTCGAACCTCTGACCTATTGGTCATCAGTCCTGCCAACCCAAGGGTTTAACCCATTACACCACTACAATGATAATGTGGGATTTCTAAGTTTCCCAAGGGCTTCTAATCGTTTGCCTCCTCAGATGCATCTACAGTCTAACATTACACCACTTTAACTACCATGGCTAGGACCCCCCGGTGGCGCAATGGGTTACACCCTTGTGCTGGCAGGACTGAAGACCGACAGGTTGGAGGTTCGAATCCAGGGGCGAGCACGGATGAGCTCCCTCTGTCAGCTCCAGTTCCCCATGCAGGGACATGATAGAAGCCTCCCACAAAGATGGTAAAGGGTGGAGCTGGGGAAAGAGCTCTTCTAGCTTAGAACCTTCTAGCCTATAGCCTGATCTAGAACACACCAACCTAGACCACAATGGCCTAGAATCTAACCAATAACACTCTGACCTCAAACTGAGAATATTCTTCATGCGGTGGTCCAAAAAGAAAAGGCGAGGAAAGGGCTCTTCTCAGAACCTTCTAACCTAGAGCTTTCTGGTCTAGAGCCCCATGACCTAGAATATCCCAACTTAGATCATTATAACCTAAAAAAGATTCTTTGTGCGTCAATCTGAAAAGAAGACCTGTGGAAAGGGCTCTTGTAGCTTAGAACTTTCAAACCTAGAGACTACTGGTCTAGAACATACTAACCTAGAGCATACTAACCCCAACCTAAAATCTCTTAACAATAAATGTTCATTTTGTTTTGTATAATAATTTGATGTTACTTATTTTATGTTTCTCTACTGTGTTTTTATGACTGTAAGCCACTTCAAATCCCTTGTTGGGAGATGAAGCGAGGTATAAATAAATTATTTATACCTCTCTAATTATTATATTATTATACAACATCTAAACATCCGGGCACCCCCTGGGCAAGATCCTCGCAGACAGCCAATTCTCTCACACCAAGGCGCAATTTGAAGCTTCTCAAGTTGCTCCTGACATGGAAAAAAAAACCCCTGCCATGGCTCAATAATATGGAATCCTGGGAGTTATAGTTTCCCAAGGTCTTCAGCCTTCTCTTCCAAAGAGTGCTGGTGTCTAACTGAACTACAACTCCCAGGAGTCCATTGCATTGAGCCATGGCGGAGTCTCCTTCTCTGAGGGTTTTTAAAGAGAGGCTGGCTGGCCATCTGTCGGGAGTGCTTCGATTCTGTGTTCCTGGATGGCCATATGGTTTCTTCCAACTCTGCTTCCACTGCAGAGGGGGCACGCGCGGTCACGTGGTGGGGGTCCCATTCCTTCCCCGCAGCCCCGCCCCTTTCCAGCAGAGGGGGGGCGGGGGCAGGAGGAAGAACACACTTCGGGTTTCAAAACCGGCGCGCACGTGCGTTTTGTTTTGGTGAGAGGGAGAAAGAGCCGTTGGCGCCCCGGCGCGCCTGCGCACCAAGGGAGGCCGGGGGCGGGGCCAAGCGCGGGGAGCTGCGTGCGCAGGCGCAGAGCGGCCCCTTCACGCGCTGCTGCTGCTGGAGGCGCTCTTGGGCTCCTCCTTGCCAAGCTCCCTCCCTCTCTCCCTCCCTCCCCTCGCGCTCGGAGCGGGAGGCTTCTCGGGGTGCCCTGGGGCCGCGGCTGAGGCGCCCGAAGGCCCTGCTTACCCCAGCGGCCTCCTCCTCGCGTCCAAGATGTCGCAGACAGCCATGTCCGAGACTTACGGTAGGGAGGGGAGAGAGGAGGGAGGGGCTGGCCTTGGCCTCTCTTCTGAGGGAGGGAAGCAGGGCTGGCGAATGTCTTCCCCTCTGCCCATTCCTTTCTCTCTTCGCCAATAGTGGCCAACCTTTCCCACACCCCCGGACCTGTGGTGGGAATAGGTACCTTATAAAGGCCATGACACATCTTTCGCCCTCACGCAAAATAGCATGAAAGCCACAACAGAGCGAGGCCGTTCATGGTGAGCCAAAACGCACCAAACAGCTTAATTGGCTGAGGGGGAAAAGGAAGGGGCCTGAGGCTGTTAGGAATGGTGGGAGTTGAAGTCCAAAACACCTGGAGGGCCCAAGTTTGCCCAGGCCTGCTCCAACCCAACTGAACATCATCTGGTACAAATTGCAGGCCCGTGGGCCCATCAACACTGGTGGAGGCTCCTTCATTTGAGGCTTTTAAGCAAAGGCTGGATGGCCATCTGTCGGGAATGCTTTGAATGCAATTTTCCTACTTCTTGGCAAGGGGTTGGACTGGATGGTCCATGAGATCTCATCCAATTCAATGATTCTTTATGTAATCCAGATTATGAGTTCCCACCTGTCAGCTCCAGCTTCCCATGTGGGGACATGAGAGAAGCCTTCCACAGGATAATAACACATCCAGGCATCCCCTGGGCACCAGAAGCGGCTTGCGGTTTCTCAGGTCGCTTCTGACATGATTTTAAAAAACTGGATCATATGGCAGTGTAGACTGATATAATCCAGTTTTTTAAAATCATGTCAGAAGCGACCTGAGAAACTACAAGTCACTTCTGGTGCCCAGAGGATGCCTGGATGTGTTATTATCCTGTGGGAGGCTTCTCTCATGTCCCCACGTGGGAAGCTGGAGCTGACAGGCAGGAACCCATCCCATCTCGCAGTTTAACCCATTGCTCCACCAAGGCTCCACTATATAATCCAGTTCAAAGCAGGTAATCTGGAAGTTTCATGACAGTGCAGATGAGGCCCATGATTCAATACCAGGCATGGGAAAACATTGGCCCTCCAGGTGTTTTGGACTTCAACTCACACAATTCCTAACAACCAGTAGGAGTTGGGAGTCCAAAACATCTGAAGGGCTGAAGTTTGCCCATGCCTGAAACATCACTTTTCTTTCAATACTTTATAAACAATCTTGCCAATGGAGCCACTAAAAGTCTGCATGAGGTATTTTGTGTGTTATGGTTGGCCAATAAGAGTATTGGACTTTTGTTGATTTTGTTTTATTTTACTGCAAATCCACATTCTCAACAAAAAAAGAGAGTGCATGATGTGTCTTCTCCATGTGGTTGGTAGATTGCTTCCTCCTAAGAGGACCTTGCATATTGCTCCCTGTTCTTTTCCATATCTTTATTTCTGTGCTCTTTTGTAAGGGCGGCTTTTTTTCCCCTACTGGACCAGGAGTGGGAAAAGAGCAAGTAGGAGTGATGTGCGTTGGGTTGTTGCTCGAAGGAGTACATGAGAATTGCTTTTCCTGTGAAGCACAGAGCCCTTAAAGCAGGGGTCCTCAAACTTTTTTAACAGAGGGCCAGGTCACAGTCCCTCACACTGTTGGAGGGCCGGATTATGATTTGAAAAAAAAACAACAAAAACATGAATTCCTATGTACACTGCACATATCTTATTTGTAGTGCAAAAAAAACCCCTCACTTAAAACAATACAATAATTAAAATTAAGAACAATTTTAACAAATATAAACTTATTAGTACTTTAATGGGAAGTGTGGGCCTGCTTTTGCCTAATGAGATAGTATTGTTATTGTTGTTATTGTGTGCTTTCAAGTCGTTTCAGATTTAGGTTGACCCTGAGCGAGGGCAGGGTAGATGACCTTGGAGGGCCGTATCCGGCCCCCGGGCCTTAGTTTGAGGACCCCTGCCTTAAGGACTTGTGTATCTGTGTATACATTCAATTCACCTGCTAACTTACGGTGAACCCATCAAATTCATAGGGCTTTCTTTGGGGCAAGGAGTGCTCAGAAGTGGTTTTGCCAGTCCTTTTTTCTGAAATAACAGATAACAGTGCCAAAGTTTTGATGCCAGTCTCCCATCCAAGTACTATCCAAGCTGATCCTGCTTAGCTTCCAAGATCAGATAGACTAGTGCTTTTAGATTAGTTGGGTCCTATGGTATCCTTCATTAAATCAAGCTTATCAGTAATGTGGTCTTTCTCTTTCCCTACTTAGCTTCGAAAATCTCACAGGACAATGTGCCTTTAGTTTATGTAGATCCTTAAAGGACTGCATATTATTTCAGAAGTTTTCATATCATCCATACATGGTGGGCCAGACCCGTAATAAATCTCAGTATTTCTCATCCTTGTTTTCTGGTTCAAGAATACTTTCAAAACAAATATGAGGGAAGGGAGTTTAGTAGTTTATTCATTCAGTCACTTCTGATTCTTCGTGACCTCGTAGACCAGCCCAGCTCCCTGTCAGCCGTTGCCACCCCCAGTTTCTTCAAGGTCAAGCCAGTCACTACAAGGATAACATCCATCCATCTTGCCCTTGATCTTCCTTTTTCCTTCCATTTTCTTTAGCATCTTCCCCAAGCTTTCCTGACTTTTCATTATGTGGCCAGAGTACTTCATCTTTGCCTCTAATATTCTTCCCTCCAGTGAGCAGTTGGGCATTATTTCCTGGAGTATGGACTGGTTTGATCTTCTTACAGTCCAAGGCACCACATATGTATAGTGATAGTGCTGCTACTACAACCTATATCAGACTAGCAGGTGATCCATAATGTCAGAGGGTGTAGAGGTGAATGGTTGCAGCTGTTAAAAAGGTAACTGGCTCTTCTTTGTGGGAAGCTATACTTGAGATGGGCATTTCCTCTTTGTGGGCTTGGAGGTGTGGGCATTTTGAGAAACAAGTGTTACTATCTGCTTGTTTCAGTTTAAAAAGATAATATTTAATGAAAAATGTTGGATGTGTATAAGTAGTGTTTCTTCAAAGGGTTAATATTACTGGAAGTGCCCAGTATCTTTATATTTCTAACTATTTACATTACCAAATTGTTAATAGTTCTAATTTTCTTCTTGTTACACAGCATTATCAACTTTCACTTTTTCAGGAAACTCTTGCTAAAAACAATGATATTTTGCATCTGTTAAATGGTTTAGAAAATCGTTCCACTTATTATTTCTAAACCAAGTTAACTGTTTTGCATAAATTGGGTCTGACGAAACTAAAAAAGTGCCTGTATGCTGTACAGTCAAAGGAATAGAGATCACCTTATTAGGGTTATCTGGTACCAATGAATATTTTCTACACACTTAATAAAGAGTAAATAATTGTCATATTTCATCAAACTGGATTAATTGGTGAAATAATTGTTATTTTATTAGGTTTTGTGTAGAGTAGATTATGAGACTACTTTTAAAACTTTTTACACATGAAATAATGATGTCTACATATAATGACCATAAGAAAAACTGTGAAAGAAACAGAGGCTGGATCTACACTGTTCTATATTCCAGGATGTGATCTCAGATTATCTGCTTTGAACTGGATTATATGAATCTACAGTGTCAGATAATCTGGGATATGCAGATAATCTGGTATCAGATTCTGAGATATAGGGTAGTGTAGATCCATCTTATATTTCTATCTTCTGAAAGTAAAAAAATAAATCTTTATACTCTCCCATCTAAATTTCTAACCAGATCAGATCATATTTTGCTTTTCAAATTATAGTGTCTTCAGAAGTCAAATAACAAAAATTCCATTCTTTCTTGAGTTTATGGTCTTTCTGCCTACAAATATCCTACTGCTTTAGTTGTCTTCGGGAATTTGTTTGGATTCCCTCATCCCTCATTTTCCTCATACAGTACTATTAAATTGTGTATTTTATGTTTTCACAATGGAGATTGTTGATATTTTCTGTCTTTAAACTATTCTTGTCAAAATGCTTGTTAATCTGAGGTTATTTCTTAAATGCTCAGAAGTGGAATTAAATTGGAATAAAAACAGTAAACCGTTACATTTAATGAAGAAAATGCATGAACTCATTGAAGAAGAGACAAAATAATGGGATTTGTTTTCAAGTGATAGCCTTCTTTTTTGATTGCATGCACATAAATCATAAATAACTTCAACATTATAAATATAGTGTCAAATTTAATTTTAGCTGTACTAGAGCAATTGTTAAATTGTTTTTGAATTAAATGATTTTTCTGAATTACTGTTTAAATAGTTTAATTTTATAATCCCCTCTATTTCATACTCATTGTAGAAAACTGACAGCAACCCCGTTGTAGACAACAGACAGTTGTTTTTTTATCAATTCTATTTCGTCTGTTTTTTGGAGGGAAAACCCACAAGTGAAGTAACATTATTTAGTGAATTAATGTTAATGCTAAATTATTGCATTACTAGCATCATTTTATAGTAAAGTTTTACAACAGGCATCTTATAACATTCATATCTGTGTTGCTAGGTTCCGTCTTCCAGACAAGTTTCCTAATGTTTCCAGACTGGCTGTGATAATAGTTCTGTTTGGTGGTCTGAGCTGCGTTTTCCTTTTTTAGTTATTCCTAGTAACAACTAGCTTCTCTAGGGTGAGAAACCAGACAGCTCAACAGAATCTTGCAGCTCAAGGGTTCTTTGTTGGTAGGGAAGAAAGAGAATACATCTTATAATGAAGTGCCTTTCAAAGCTTTGTTTTTGTTTGTTTTCTTCTGTAAAGAAGAAGCTGGGAGCAAAGTTGAATCATTTAAACAGCTGAAGAAATAACAGGCAGAAGAATTCCTTTCGCTTCACTATCCAAACAGTAAAATATATAAATCACTTTTCCCACAGTGATTTTGAACATAAGGACTACTTTGAAGCCACTGTAAAATTCATGTGAATTTGTGGCACATTGTAACACATGATGTTTTTCTATTTTGTAAAGTTCCATGTTGGCAGAATATGCAAGGAGACTGATATAAGTGCCCTGCACTCAAATAAGATAGTCTTGTTTACAAACATGTCCATTATTTCAGCAACTTTCAGACATGAATAATTGACAGGTTTGTAAACTATATGTACTTCTCTTGGTAGGGGGATAGTATCTCAGTCATATGGCTGCAGCAGAATAGACATGCTATATCCTTAGGAATATTTTAGGTTCAGTATGTAATTCTTCGAGGAAAATAGATTTTTATAACACAGTCTGGCCTTCTTTATTAATTTTAATACATCTAGTTCTTGTAACCAAAAAACAAATTGCTATTAAAATTGAGAAGTTTTGGAATTGAAGGATTTTACTACTTATGGAGTGAAAAATTGTCATATCCAAAAGATTGCAACCTCTGGTGTGGGGGGACAGGGGTACCAAATAGCAAATTCTATGTGCAGTTAGATCTACCACAGCACATTATTCTTCTATTCCTTATGTTTATTACTATTGTTATTGTTATTATATTTATTTATACCCCACTTTATCTCTCCAAAGGGGACTCAAAACGGCTTGACATAAAAGCATTAGCACATAATTTGAAAGATACAAATATACAAAAAATAAAACAGAATTAAATACAAACAGCAGTAAAAAATCAATTAAAATCCGTTCTCACCAACTGAGCTTGGGATGCAGGTGGGAATGAGAAAAGGACCTCTCGTGAAGATCTCAGAGCTCAGGCAGGTTCATAAAAGGGGATGCAGTTGGCCAAATAACATGGACCTGAACCATCAATGGCTGTAAAGGTCATAACCAGCAGTTTGAATTGTACCTGGTAGCTAACTGGCAGCCAGTGGAGCTGCTGCAACGAGGGTTGTTCCTGTAGCCAGCCCCAGTGAGCAATCAGGCTGCAGTTCTTTGGACCAGCTGAAATTTCTGAGCACTCTTCAGAGACAGCCCCCCAGTACCATGACATGCCTTGGTGAGTACTAGTGGATGCTTGTCCTGCTTCCACGTTTTCTGGCGTTCTAGATCTGCCAGGGATTTTCGTTTCAGTGTGGATCTACTTGCTCGAAGATTAGAAATCCATACCAAAATCAGTTTCCAGTCTGGTACAGATGCATTTTGACTGAGCACGAAGCATGTATGTAACACTCTCTGTGTCGTTATCACAGACAGTTGTTCCTGTAATACGCTTGAACAACAAAGCTTTGATGTTCACTGGTCCAATTAATGATGGGTACTGAAAATGTCAGGGCCTAACCTACTGAATTATTTATTTATTTATTTATTTATTTATTTCATTCACTTATACCCCGCCCTTCTCACCCCTAGGGGGACTCAATTAGACCTACCCTACCTCTTTACCCATCAGAATATGGGAGATCTTTTTGCTCCATCCTGTATATATAAAGTAGGCCCCCTATGTGATAAGGTAGTCAACTATTCATGAAAGGATAGGTGGTGTAAAGTCTGCAGATCAGGAAGCTTCACTCAGACATCTATGGACACAGACCATACATTTGGAATGAAGAAAATGTGAACTTCTAGATTTTGGACTGCAGTTCCTTTCATTTCTAGTTACCAAGCATCTTGTAAAGTATGATGGGAATTGTAATTCAGGAACTTTTAGAATGCTGTTAGACTATACAAATATCTCTTCCTGGAATGATTTTGGAATTAAGAATTTTTATTCTTTGACAAGGTACTTCCCCCTATGTTTTATGTTTAATTCCTGGCAAACCTAAAATAGTAAAATCACCAAATGTGATAATCCGTGTTATTTTTACTTTTCTTGGAATGACAATGATCTGGTATCTTATATGTATGTATTGTGGAGAAAACCTATTTGATCCTTTGTTTCCTTTAAAAATAATGTCTTGTGAAGAACACATCTTCAAACTAAAAAGTTTGTGTGCTGCTGCCCTAAAATAGTACAAATACTATTAGTATACTCATGCTTCTTGGCAGAGGGTTGGACTGGATGGTCCATGAGGTTTCTTCCAACTCTGATTCTATAATACTTGATTGTTAAAATACTAAAAATTGGGCTATAGGTACTGGGAAAATAAAGAAGTTAAAATTTCTAAATGCTGCATTTTATATTAGACGCCTACTTGCGTGACCGCATTTCTGTGTACGAACCCACACGATCTCTACGTTCACCTGGGGAGGCCCTGCTCTCGCTCCCACCTACCTCACAGGTGCGATTAGTGGGGATGAGGGAGAGGTCCTTCTCCATGGTTGCCCCTCGACTCTGAAACTCCCTCCCCAAGGATATCATCAAGCCTCCACATTGGCAGTCTTTAGGAGGAGTCTGAAAACGTGGCTGTTCCAGTGTGCCTTCCCTGGATAAAGGAAACAATCCCCTGCAAATACTCTGAGAAGCACATTAATTACCTGTTGGGTTGCTCTTTACTTTTGATTTAAAACCCTCCAAATAGAGACATCCTCTGTTCATGTCCATCATTTATTTTTAAAGTTTTAACTATTACATTTGGCCCAGCCATAGGTTTTTAAATTCTTGTGTTTATTTTCTACTTGTGAGTCATATTAATTGTATTGTTTATTTTGTTTATTGCTTGTTATTTTATTACTCCTTGTTGTTTTTGATGTGTTGTTAGGCTTGGCCTCATGTAAGCCGCTCCGAGTCTCTTGGGGAGATAGTGGCGGGGTATAAATAAAGTTTTCTTTATTTATTATTTATGTATGTGTTGAATATACAAAAACACGTTTATCTACTTTTGTTCTTGTTTTCAGATTTCCTGTTTAAGTTTTTGGTAATTGGAAATGCTGGAACAGGCAAATCTTGTTTGCTTCATCAGTTTATTGAAAAGAAATGTAAGTACAATCTAAGAGCTACTTTTCTTCAAGAGAAGTATGGTTCAAACTGTTCTTTAACAAAAACCATGGCTAGCAGCAGTTTTGACTCTGTATAACCTAAATTTTCTCTTAAATAATTTGCAAATGAATAAGAATTCATGTTCTGAGGCCCTTTAAATGTTTAATCATCACGTTCAACCATGGATTTGTCAGTCTGTACATACGATCAGAGTAGCAATACATTAGAGTAACTACAGATCTACACACTTCATCAGTTTCTTAATAAAATAGCAATGTTTGGTTCTAATTGTAATACAAACAGGTTAGCTGGGAGTTTAAGCATGGATATCAATAGCATGTCTTGAGCCAAGAGGATGTGGATGGCAGAAAAGGGGAATATACTGCTGTCACAATATTAATACATGACATAGTACTTGTGCATAATCCTTATTGCAAAATTGGTCAGAAATACGGCAAGGTATGTAATGGGTTGAAAATGTATAATGAGTTCCATTTACATATGTTGACAGTTTAGAAGATATACCGAATTATACTTATGTATTTGATGTGTTCCAGTACGTTTAAATTTATGTTACCTGAAGTGAGCAAACAAATTCACTTTTTGACTCTGATAACAATATGAATACTGAATGTATTTGTACTTGTAATGATACAGAAGTATTCTGTGTGTTTTAATTATATTTGAATATTTAATCCTGGACTTTTTATTCTAGTTAAGGACGACTCAAATCATACCATAGGAGTTGAGTTTGGCTCGAAAATCATAAATGTAGGGGGCAAATATGTAAAACTACAGATATGGGATACAGCTGGACAAGAACGTTTCAGGTATAGTTTTATTTGATTTACATTTAACAGCATGTGGTGGTTTGTCTGGATACACTGGGTTAAATTTTGGTCGTGTCAGGAGCAACCGCTCTTGTTGTGAGAGAATTGACCGTCTGCAAGGACGTTGCCCAGGGGACGCCTGGATGATTTTTGATGTTAAATAAAGCAGCACACATCGGAGTTTGGTGTGATTTGTGGGAAGAGTCTGTAAGCCATATTGAAAAAGCCTTAAGCTTTAAAATGGATTTAAAATATCCTATATGAAGGGCATTTCCCATAATAACTGCTTCTAGTTATTGTGTGACATCCAAGTGTGTTGCAAACCTAGTTGGAAGAAATTAGTTTACAATTATTTCTTTAAACTTTATAGCTACTCAATTTTGGCCTCATTGTGTTATGTAGTCTTATCAAGTCAGCACAGTAAATTTGGTGTTTGTAATTTTATCCTGGTGTAGTACTCAACTTTCTGCCATATTTCAGTGATGTCAACTTTGATTTGTAGGTCTGTAACACGAAGCTATTACAGGGGTGCTGCAGGTGCCTTGCTTGTTTATGACATTACCAGGTAAAACGATATTGACAGCATTGTATTCTCAAGTATGGAGATATGTCTTCTGTTCTTCCTGAGGGTGGACATGTTATCTTTTGCAACTACTGAGAGGCCAGATTCAGCCTTTATAGCCTTTCCCCTCCTCTCTGAGTTAACATAACAAACCTACCATATTTTCTCAAGTCCAGTGCACCATCGAATCTAATGTGCACCCCAGTTTTCAAAACCCTAAAGCCTCAAAAATATTTGCTGGTGAATAATGTGCAGCGACAAAAAGTGCAAAAGTTATTTGGCCAAAAAAGTGTATGTTACAATTACGTCTGCTTAGAATTCGTTCTTTAAAAGCTGAAATAGTAGGACACCAAATCTTCCAGCAATTGAAAGGAAAACCAGAGAAACAGGAAACCTTTCCCTCAAGGAGCCTCTAATGTTTATCATGCCTCAGCTTCCTTGGGTGAAGCTGTGCTGTAGAATAAAAGAATGTTGGTTGCTCACTTAACTACAACTCCCAGGAATACATAGTACTGAGCCATGGCAATTAAAAGTGGCTTCAAACTGCAGTAATTCTGCAGTAAAGATGCATCATAGGAGAGCTATGCTGGAAACCTAAACTTTAGCCTGCAAATCTACTTAGAGCTGCAAACGGGAACCACCAGCAAATCTCATGGAAAATTCCCCAGACTTCCTGGAAGTAATTATGGGGAATAAGTATTCTAAAGACATTCTGCTTACCCTTCATTTGCCCGCCCCCCTGGCTTGCTTGCCCGCTCAAGCCCTGACCCCAGCCCCCCCCCCCCAATGGTGGACACTTGGTTTCTAAAAAGTTTACCATTGCTGTCCTAGATGATGTATAAATCATATTTTCTTTATTTCCAAGCTTATATTTCATGTTAACAACAAATACAATTGGTACACATAAACAAAATAGTTCATGATTCTAGAGTTTTCTCAATCATATCTGGATATAAAAAATACCGAAACTGTGATATTTTCACCAGTAAAGATAATGAATTTTGTACGTATAAAGAGGATGAAGATTGCCTTGGAACCATGCATCACTTGCTTCTGAAAATTCATCATTGTCAATATGTTGGATCACCAGTGATTTCTTCCCAGAACCTTCCTGTGCTCTTAGATGTCAGTTTCATTAGAAAAGTGGTCATGGAATCTATGTTTCAGAACAAGCTGCTCCTCTTTCCATCCATAACTGATCTTGAAAGGAGATCCTCAATGCACCTTAAATAAAATTTTAATCTGCAAATAAATACCAACATAATTTCCTGAATAATTTGCTCCCTTGTCTCAGGAGGTGGTTTTTCTTGAACTTACCTTTAGCAAGTGCACTAAACCAAGTCCAAATGTTAAACTAGTACTAGATAGCTCAGGTACAGTGGCTAGAATTTGGGGACCTTCCATGGGTGCCAAAATCTATCGATGCTCAAGTCCCATTATATACAGTGGCATAGTAAAAAAGTGTGCCTTATAAAAATGTATATGTACATTAAAAGATTTTTCAAGTTGTGAATGGTTGCATCCAAGGATACAGAATTGGTGTATATGGAGTGCTAATTGTATTGTCTCATTGTCGTCTACAAAACTGTTATGCCTCCTCAGCCAATTTCCCTAATTGTGCATTAGCTCTTTTTTAGGTTTTACTTACTGGCAGAAGAAAGCACAACATGTTTTTCTATAGTTGTGTTGATCTGTCGAACTGTGCTTGAATTTATATTGCAGAATTTTATGCTGTTAGCTATAGTCACAGAACTAGTATAATGTATATCTCTGTTTGGAGGCAAGATGTCATTAATGTAACAATACATTTTTTGTAATTCAGTCGAGAAACCTACAATGCTCTTACTAATTGGCTGACTGATGCAAGAATGCTGGCAAGTCAAAATATTGTAATAATACTGTGTGGGAATAAAAAAGATCTTGATGGAGATCGGGAAGTCACTTTCTTGGAAGCATCTAGGTTTGCTCAAGAAAATGGTGAGTATTTTTCATGCTATCTTATCTTTAGGTTTGCCTTTAGTTAGGCTTCCTGAATGTTGTACCCTCCAGATGACTGGTAACCACATTCCAGATGGGACCCTATTGGTCTCATTATCCATCGGCTTTTTCCCAGTTCTTTCTCCCCTTCCCTTCTCCCTCTAGGCATGAATTATAGGGATTCCAGGAAATGTATTGGGCAGATAATGCAGCTTGGACCAGCATGGAAATTCTCCCTGAGCTAGTTGCAATGTATAGACTATATTACCAATACCTATCCTAAGCTGTGGGTTGCATATTTGATTAAATAAAGGGGTGGACTGAATTATCATCTGTAAAAATATTCAGTATGTTATAGAGGATTGAGAAGGAAGCTTAAGAAATCTTTCAGCTAAGTTTTCTTAATTCTGCCTGTTCTCAGATTCTTCGGTGCCACTTTTTAAAAAAAAAAAAACAAGTGGTTTGGAAACTGCATAGACATCAGATATTATTACAAGATGACTCTGCAAAACCAAATCAGCTCAAGGGCAGAGTCAGTCAATCAGTCAGTCTATATCTATATCTATATATATTATGGTCATCTCTTTCATAGAGACTTCTATGCTCTATCTTGGAAAGCTTTTTCTGACTTTTTTTCTGGTTACAGTTGTTTTTCTGTTTTGTTTAATTTTACCCGTGTTCTTCCTTTTCTACTAACAAGTACCATTCAGACAAGTGAATTAGATACAAAAAGGGATATTCCTTGCATTTGTTTGGTTGATTTATGTGTTACATTCCAATTGTTGTTTTTAAGAGTGGTTTGTTTGTTCTTTTATTAAACTGTCAACTCCCTAAGATTATTAAATTATTTCCCCAAAAAATCTATCCATATATTTTATTGGTATTCATTAGAAGGTCTATTTTTTTTAAAAAAATGTAAAACATATTGGCTTCAGTAAAAAAATTTCACAAGCAAAAACTACTTGGGTACTGAACCCTGGTGTCTACATCAGTCCCCTGAAAAAGTGTCCTGGTCCTTTGAGGTCTGTCGTGGAATGGACATATGGAAAAAATAAGTTGGTTATCTTGTGTGAGTAGTGTGTATTATTGCTTATATGTTAATGGTATTGCCAAGAAGTCACTATATAGTTTGCAAGCAGTTCCCATTAAGTAAAATAGAGAAGATCAGAGTTGCTTGGCTTCAGAAGCACTGCTACATTAGCTGTACTTTGACCATTCTCCTGCTGTCATTTTGAATAATGATGATCTGCCTCCTTTGTCTTTTCTGTCTATTGCAGAGCTGATGTTCTTGGAAACAAGTGCATTGACAGGGGAAAATGTTGAAGAGGCCTTTGTACAGTGTGCAAGAAAGATACTTAATAAAATTGAGTCAGGTACTTAATCACAATTGCACGCTTGAGTAACTTGAGTTAAGCTAATAATAATACCAGATACAGTAGAATATGTGGAATGATGAAGCAGTCCTAGACTAAATGTGTTTTTCCCCATTGCCATAAAATTGCATCAAATTATCAATTTCACCTAAGAGTGTCTTTGTTGTTGTTCATTCGTTCAGTCGTCTCCGACTCTTCGTGACCTCATGGACCAGCCCACGCCAGAGCTCCCTGTCGGCCGTCACCACCCCCAGCTCCTCAAGGTCAGTCCAGTCACTTCAAGGATGCCATCCATCCATCTTGCCCTTGGTCGGCCCCTCTTCCTTTTGCCTTCCACTTTCCCCAGCATGATTGTCTTCTCTAGGCTTTCCTGTCTCCTCATGATGTGGCCAAAGTACTTCAACTTTGTCTCTAGTATCTTTCCCTCCAGTGAGCAGTCGGGCTTTATTTCCTGGAGGATGGACTGGTTGGATCTTCTCGCAGTCCAAGGCACTCTCAGAACTTTCCTCCAACACCACAGCTCAAAAGCATCGATCTTCCTTCGCTCAGCCTTCCCTAAGGTCCAGCTCTCACATCCGTAGGTTACTACATGGAATACCATGGCTTTGACTAGGCGGATCTTTGTTGCCATTCTGATGTCTCTACTCTTTACTATTTTATCGAGATTGGACATTGCTCTCCTCCCAAGAAGTAAGCGTCTTCTGATTTCCTGGCACAGTCTGCATCTGCAGTAATCTTTGCACCTAGAAATACAAAGTCTGTCACGGCCTCCACGTTTTCTCCCTCTATTTTCCAGTTGTCAATCATTCTTGTTGCCATAATCTTGGTTTTTTTGACGTTTAGCTGCAACCCGGCTTTTGCGCTTTCTTCTTTCACCTTGATTAGAAGGCTCCTCAGCTCCTCCTCGCTTTCGGCCATCAGAGTGGTGTCATCTGCATATCTGAGGTTGTTAATGTTTCTTCCAGCAATTTTCACCCCAGCTTTGCATTCATCAAGCCCCGCACATCGCATGATGTGTTCTGCATACAAGTTAAAAAGGTTGGGTGAGAGGATGCAGCCTTGCCGTACGCCTTTCCCAATCTTGAACCAGTCTGTTGTTCCATGGTCAGTTCTGACTGTTGCTACTTGGTCCTTGTACAGATTCCTCAGGAGAGAGACAAGGTGGCTTGGGATGCCCATCCCACTAAGAACTTGCCACAATTTATTATGATCCACACAGTCAAAGGCTTTAGAATAGTCAATGAAGCAGAAGTAGATGTTTTTCTGAAACTCCCTGCCTTTCTCCATTATCCACGGATATTGGCAATTTGGTCTCTCGTTCCTCTGCCTTTTCTAAACCCAGCTTGAACATCTGGCAACTCTCGCTCCATGTATTGTTGGAGTCTTCTTTGCAGGATCTTGAGCATTACCTTACTGGCATGAGAAATAAGGGCCACTGTACGGAAGTTTGAGCAGTCTTTCGCATTTCCCTTTTTTGGTATGGGGATATAAGTTGATTTTTTCCAGTCTGATGGCCATTCTTGTGTTTTCCATATTTGCTGGCAAATGGCATGCATCACCTTGACAGCATCATCTTTAAGATTTAAACAGTTCAGCTGGGATCCCGTCGTCTCCTGCTGCCTTGTTGTTAGCAATGCTTCTTAAGGCCCATTCAACCTCACTCCTCAGGATGTCTGGTTCTAATTCATTCACCACACCGTCAAAACTATCCTCAATATGATTATCCTTCCTATACAGATCTTCTGTATAGTCTCGCCACCTTCTCTTGATCTCTTCAGCTTCTGTTAGGTCCCTGCCATCTTTGTTTCTTATCATACCAATTTTTGCCTGAAATTTACCTCCAATGTTTCTAATTTTCTGGAAGAGGTCTCTTGTCCTTCCTATTCTTTTTGTCTTCTTCCACTTCCATGCATTGCTTATTTAAAAATAGTTCCTTATCTCTTCTGGCTAACCTCTGGAATTGTGCATTTAACTGGGCATATCTCCCCTTATCCCTGTTTCCTTTTGCTTTCCTCCTTTCTTGGGCTACTTCCAGTGTCTCAGCAGACAACCATTTTGCCTTCTTGGTTTTCTTTTTCTTTCTGAACTTCTTATTGCCTAATTTAGAATAAAACTAAAGAGATCAGGGAAAATACACAGACCAGTTAGATATGATCTCACTAACATTCCTAGCGAATATACAGTGGAAGTGAAGAACAGATTTGAAGGACTAGATTTAGTAAACAGAGTCCCAGAAGAACTATGGACAGAAGTCCGAGACATTGTGCAGGAGGCGGCAACAAAGTACGTCCCAAAGAAAAAGAAGAGTGTCTTATCAAATATAATAAAATAAGTTCATCCAAACACAAAGGAATCCACTAAAACATATAAGTAGAGCGATTTAGTAACATTTTATTTAATTAGCTGTTATCAGAATGTTTCCCTATTACATTGGTTTTTCATTGTAGATGTAGAAGATACAATAGAACAATGTAAAGCTTTGCATAAAAGAGACAAGAAAGTCTCAGAGAAAAGACAATCAGAAAAAAATAATTCTTAAAATCTTTGTATGCTACATTTCAAATAATGCTAAAAGGTAGGCAATTGCATACTGTTACATGACACTTAAGTATATACCACAGTGTGTATGTTTAGCATCCTTTGTGGGTCTGCCAACTGCTCCTTTTTAGTATTATAGAAATACTAACATTAGGCATCTTTTAAAGGACTCTTTAACATAATATTCTAAACTTGAGTAAAATTGGAAGATATAGGCAGTAACACAGATGTCTTTAGCCTTTGGCTTGCATTATTACTCTTTATTTCTGCTTCATATATGTTTCAGCTGAGTGAGAAAGTATGTCACAGTAAGTTCTATCCAGGTTCCCCAACAATACTTAAATACAATGATATAGTCAGTTTAATTAAAGTTGTAGGTTTTAGGTGATACGGATCATTTATGTAACAGTACATTTTCTGTTTTTGTAGGAGAACTGGATCCAGAAAGGATGGGCTCAGGTATTCAGTATGGAGATGCTGCCTTGAGACAGCTGAGATCTCCACGAAGAGCACAAGCCCAGAGTGTTCAAGAATGTGGTTGTTAGAAGCAGAGAACAAATGAAGCATTCGCCTTAAGAAAAAGGGTGAGAAATAGAAATTTGTAGTTTCTTTTTCTGTTACCCGCCCCCAAAGAAAGAATTTCATACCCACTGACTGCATCCACAGATTCCCCCATTCACTACTTGACTAACAAACAGCCAGATCTACTTTCCTCTTTTTTTCAACCTCTCAGAAATAAGTTCTGTTGAATTCAGAAGGGAATGTTACAAAATACAGGCAGTCACTGGGTTACAAACAAGATATGTTCTGTAGGTTTGTTCTTACGTTGGATTTGTATGTAAATTGGAACAGGTACATTTTTAAGCATAACTCCACACAATAAAATATCTTTTCTATTTTAAAGTTTTGGAAAGCATAGGGAAGGGTAAACACCCTGTAAAGTTTCTTTTGTTCTAGTCCTGTTAAGAAGATTTCACCTCACTCTGTTCCTGTCACTTTTGAATTTTGAAAAATCTAGCTTGTGAAAAAGGATTGGTGAGAAAGCTTAAGTTAAGCTTATTTCCCGTGATAATTCTTCCCTTCCTTGTGGTAGATTTCCTCTCACTTCCCATTGTTTCAGCCCCGTTTGTAACTAGGAGTCAGATGTTTGTAACTCTGGGGCTGCCTGTACACAAGCAAAGGATTTCTTAATGAGCCATATTATTATTTTTTCCCCAGCTGTCTTTGCAAATGAGGTTTCATTAAACAACTGCCATGGCTTCAAGGCTCTGCAATTTTAGAACTTCTTTTTGATTCAACCAAGGAGACTACGTATGGTATTTTTAAAAAAGAAAAAGTACTGTGGAATGGTTTCCAGAAATGTGCACTTGATATAACAAGACTGCAGAAAAGAAAATCTGATAATTCAGTGGACAATACTGAAATGCCTGTATGTAAATGTTTTCTGTTACATGTTTTTGTTATTTCTGTATTCTGTGTATATAAAATGTCACCATTAAATTTCCAAAGCATGATATACTGACATAATATTGCACTAACAGTTGTTTGTTTTTGTTTTTTTAAAAAAACTAAAATTTTAACTTTGATAGGCACTATCATGTTTTTGGTCTTTTTGTACAATGGCTTCTATTTATGAGTTGACATTGAAAGCTACTGGCATTGATTGTCAGTGTTTTATTTGCCACATTTTATAAGGCGCTTACATGATTTATTTTTTGAAAATGGTTAGACCAAGTTTATCTTGAGAAGATAGTTTTTTTTTAATTGAAACATAGCTGTCCTTTAACATATTTCAATCATTTTGTCAAGTATAGGCTACAAAATACACTTGTGAACTCTGAGAGCTTACTGCTGTCGGATATTGCCTTGGGAAATTCTTATTTTCTAGATTGTATCTCAGACAGTGCGCTTTGGGTGGAAGATAATGCATTCTTGTTTGGCTGTTCTGTAGCTGAATTTGATGTTGTCAATCACTATTATGATTTTTTTTTTAATTAAAACTTCTATATATAAGACTTCTTTCAGGTTATATACTCCTCTGAAAAAAGAAGCAACTTATGAAAACAAGCTCACATGCATTGAAGAGGACAGTTTCTAAATCTAATGAGTTTACAAAATGTGCTCAACTTTCCGTACTCTGTAATCTAGAAATACTATTCTTTAAATGATAGGTATTGTCTAGAAAATGGACTCAAACCTGCACACTCTTTCCATGCCACTGTGAAAGAAAAGCCACCCTCTGCTTCCAAGATATCTAATAAGAAAACTATGAATCATATAGATCCACCTGTAAATATGAAGTCCTGTTTTTGGTAGTTATATGTGTGCAATAAAATGATCACTTACATTTATTTCTGTCATATTAAAAAAATCTGAAGGTGACCATTTGTAGTGTGAGTCAACTGATGGTCATAATATAGGTAAACATGGAACCTCAGAGCTGGAAGTGGTTATTTATGATTCCTGAGGTGCTGCTTTGGCACACTGATCTTGGTTGAAAACATCTTGTATATTTAAATTGCTGTATTGATACAGGTTTTTGGCTGGTTCTATTTGGAAGGAGTATGAAATTTTATATGACTGTCAACTAAGAATTTCATCAGCCTAGGCCTAAAGTAGAGAAGATCATTCCTAGCTAGGATAAATTTAGCCATCACTAAGTATATAACTATCCAAAATGGAAACCGTGAATTTGATTATAATTTGGTTTTTTAACAAAATTATTGTTCATCTCTATTTCTAAGGTTGTTTCCTTCCCTTTCGAATTAAAAAGGAAGATATACAGAAAAGGCAACAAATGAGTTGGTCATTATTTCTCAAAGAGTGCTGTTTCTCAACCAATCATGTCATTAATGGCAGTTGATTAGCGATCAATTAATTTGAAGTCACAAAAGTCTGAAAATGCAGACAAAATAGCCAAATTTACTACAGAGAACAGAATTTCAGTAAAAGTTCTAGCAGTCATATGCCAAATTAAGTCGAATAACAAAAGCCAACCAGATGCTAAGAGTGGAATTTGGCAGCTTTCAAGACAAAAGTTGCACCAGTCTTATAGGAGATCTGTAGTTGAGACAGAATTACAGTAGGCCCAAACAACTTAATTTTCACTGGCAGAGGCACCTAGAGCAAAGAGACTCGTGGTTACCTGAGCTTTTATAAAGGAGCAGGACATTCTTCAAAATGTTTTCTTGTTGTATTTCAGCAATTACACGTTAAGAGAGAAGTCATTTTTATCTTTCACAGTGTTGAAAGTTTAACATTGACATGATTGGAATGAACTGATTGAATAAGCTGCAAACAGGTTGTTCGTTAGAATGGAAAATGTACATTTGAGTGGTCTGAGATCAATGAAAACCTTCGTTGTAAGTGGAAAAATCATTGCAAAATTAATATGGAATGCACTATAGTGTTGTAATTGATGCGTACGGGATTGGAGATTCCAATTTAAAGGAAAACAATGAAATCAAAGTGGCTAGCATGCAGTCTCTGTATTGGTGTTATTTGGTACACTGCATGGATGTATAAGGTATACAGCATAGATATTTTGTGATAAATAGGAATTAATTTCAGGGAATATTCTATGTGTGACATTTTTATAATGTCCTTTCTATTCCTACATCTACTCATATCAAAAACAATTCCAAAGACGCTTGGAGGGCAGGCATCCATCTAAGATTTGGCTCTAGCTAGCATTCTCAGTATAAGTGGAAAGCTTCATTGACTCTACTCCTCCCATCCCTCAGTTTTTAATAGTTATAAATTTCACATAACTGTCTTTTAATTGAAGGAAATTTAAAGGGTGTTGTCATGTACTCTTAATTTAGAAGAAATTAGTAGCTTAGTATTAAAAAGGGTACTACATTGCAGTTGTCCTAGAACATGCTGTTACTTTTACTTTTGTTCTGTAACACATTCTTCTCACCTTCTGTTACAATAGTACTTCCTATGTGAGGTGACATAGAGCAAAGAGTATGTTCTCTCTTAGTCTTAAAACATAGTGCATACTGAGAAGCTAAAGTGCCATGCAATTCTACTAAGTAAATGAGGGGTAGTGAAAGCAGAACAGATCAACATAGATTTCAAATGCTACTACACAGAAGCTAGCCTGCTTTTCTTTTTCTAGTACTCTGTTGGGCTGGAGAACTCAGGACATCTTGCCTTAATGCTTATGTAGATAGATTTTGGTTCTGTGCATTACTTCTGAGAGAATCCTGTTTCCTCTGTTTTTTCCCTCCTTTATTTTAGTGCAAAAGTAGCTCTTATTAGTTTTCCTCCCTCACAATTAAGAAATGGCTGTTTCCTAATTTTTACCCAAAAAACATCTTAACTGGTATTAAAAGACATTTTTAAAATTATGATTTTTTCCAAAAATGACATGCAATTGCCAGAATGCTTTTGGTGTATTACACTAGATCAGTGGTTCTCAACCTGGGGTCCCCAGATGTTTTTGGCCTACAACTCCCAGAAATCCAGCTAGTTTACCAGCTGTTAGGATTTCTGGGAGTTGTAGGCCAAAAACATCTGGGGACCCCAGGTTGAGAACCACTGCACTAGATAGTGGCAGCAGGAGAAAGAATGCTGTGAATATGAACCCTGCACAGTAGAGGAGGCATTCGAGAAACTGACTCTTAGGAACCAACAGATTTGACTGGCTTTCCTCATCATCAGTGTATACCCCTGGAAAAAAGACAGCCACTTACATACACAATTTTAGGAAACAGCCATCTAAGTCTTCAGTCGTATACCGTGTATCTGAATGGAATGCCATCCTGATCACCGAGGCATTAATCCTTCTGTATAAATGTATGTATTTCAACCTTTGGCTCTCCAATCTTTGGGGAGGGGGGGGGGGTTTGACTCACATCTCCCAGAATCCCCAAGTATTGGCTATGTGTATTGGGGCTTTTGATAGTTAAAAACCAAAACATTTGGAGAACTGTAGATCTTGTAGTATAAGGACAGGAAACCTTGCTTGTTACATCTACACACAATTCTTACATGTTCTCTGCAAGCTCATGTAAATGCAAGGATGGGAAGAACATGCATGGGAAATTTTGGTATGAGAATTGTTTGTTCCTGTCCCATTTGTTTCCCCTAAAATAGACTTCATAGAGCTTGGCTTGGGAGCTAGTTGAGGAAAGCCAGAAATGTAACATTTCCTGCAAATGCCTCCATTTCATTTTTGTAGGGGAAACATGGGGTTGGGATCCCTATGCTTCCCTTGCAGGATATAATTCCATCCTCAGGGCTGTAAAATGGCAGCTGCAATCCAGCAAACTGTTGCTACATGCACTGTCAGTTTGGGTATGACTCAAATGTGCTAGACTGCTGTCTTTGTTCAATACCCGAAGCTTGAAGCAGAATTATTGAGTCACAAGATAATATGTATTTGTTTTTAGAGTTTAACTATTTCTAAAAATAAAAGTGTATTTATATAATATTCGAATTCATTAACACATTCAAAATGCATGGTTTCTTTACTGTAAAGTTTTTATTATGCTGCTTAATGTCACCTGAGGAATGTTATTGAAAGTAATGAAATAAAAGGTTTTCTGCAAATTTACTATATGTACGTTTCTTTTCAGCCATACAGCAAACCTGTGGAGCATTTGGATAGTGGCTTATTTACTGATTAATCTGTCTATTCCTGCAGTGACCCTTTCAGAAATAGCATCTTCTCTATGCAACACATACATTCATATTTTCTGAATGAAAGCTAAGCTGTCAGTCTTTTAAACCACATTTCTGTGTAAAACAGCCCCTTTGAACCTAAAACAGAAGAAACTGTTTGTCACACATAGTAAATCCATAAACTCAAATTGTACATTGCTGAATTAAAGTAATTTGGCACTTTGACTGTAATAAAGATAAGCACATGACTTCTGAGTGTGTGTATGCTGCAATTTAAGCCTTTAACTTTGAGGATATTAAAGGCTTTCCTGGTAGAGAATGTTTTACAAAAGCTATAGTCTCATTTAGGTTATTTCTGAATTGTAGTAGGTTTTCATTGTCTTACTGATTAATCTGTTTAGAATACATTGTCTCTTAATATGAAGATAAAATCTTTTTTTGTAAAAAAAAAATTATCTTGTTTCTATAAGAAATGCAAAAAAGGATGGTTAATGAGTGCTTTTTGCTGCAGCACACTTTGGCAAAGAAAAGCGAAAGTTTTCTAAGACTTCTTTGATATGGTCACTTCAAGGTAAAAATCATTTTGAGTTGTGAAAATATGACTCATGTGGACTGTGTTTTAATCATAGGTAATAAAGTCTTAGGACAATATTATTTGCTTTGATCTGCCTTTTTAAGAAAGAAGCATTCCTCATCAACTAGTTTTTAATCTGCAATCTCTAGCCTAACTCCTTCCTTCCACTGTGTTGAAAGTCTCCTTTATGAAAACAGAAGAAAAATCAGCATTAATGTAAATCTGCTGTTAGAATCTGGTTTGCTGAATTGCACAACAGCATATATTCAAGGTAGATTACTTTGGGCTAGCTTGGTGTGTGGTGTTTACCAATTCTGAATTCAGATCTCTTCCATGTTACCTTAAGGTTGCAATCTTTATTGGCATTGATGCATGTTAACTCGGAAACCTTGAAGTTTTGTTGAAACACTGACAGATCATTTAATAATCACTTTAAATGCTGGTATAAGCATATCTCGGTTTCCTCTAACTTAATTATACATCTAAGTTGACTGCTATGAAAGCTTATGCCACTGACTTTATTGTCTGTGTCTACGGTCATACGGTCTCTTTACATAATAATAATCATCATCTTACATAATAAATGGGAAACTATTTTTTCCTGTTCTGAACATATAGGTAACTTCATTGCTTGTTTGTACAGTACATTATTATAGGAAAGTTCTCAGGCCTTGATATAGCTTCTGATAATTGAGTGCTTCTGCCTAAGCAATCAATATATATTTTAGTTGCAATTAGATCTGGGCTTTCAATTGATGTCTAAACATAATATAGCACAGAACATCAGTCATCAAGCCACTTTTCTGAATATATATATATATCAAAGCATTAGCTTGGTACCCATACAAATGGGTATTACATCTATACAGAACTCACCATAAGGAATATTATGCTAAGTAGAAGAGTGGAAAATATTGTGATTTTTTTCCCCTCACTTTATTTTTCCATTGAAAAGTCTGCTTTTAAAATTGTTTTGTCTGCACTATACACTTATAAATGTTCAATACCATTTTAAATTTTCCATTCTGTAGAATCCCAGGATTTGTAGTTAAGTGAGTTATTACGAGGAATTCAACTATGCTCTACATAAGAAAGCAGTGTTCCTGATGGGAGATTGATAGAACAGTAGATAGTTTAGAAAGTTTATAGGGAAGCCCATCCCCGACTCTCCGCCTGTCCTGTCCCCATCTTCAATGTTAGACTGGTATTCTCAGGACAATTCTCCCTACTCAAGTTTCCAGCCCCCTTCCTGGAATTTTCCATTTCTTTGTCCACATAAGTTTGAGCATAGACTAGCTAAAGGTAGGACCTCAGTTGTTTCCTTTCCTATCAGTTATGTAGTTCTTTTGAATAAAGCTTTTATAACTTTAACTGCTGGCCTAGTTCCTTAAGTGTGATATCTCATGGTTCCTCCTAATGCACATTACCCTTGCTACTATACTCTGCTAGCAGTCCAGCAAAGTGGACTAGCAATCTCTAGAAAGGAATGTTAGGTCCCTCTAAATTCTAGGATCCAAATAGGTATGGCCATTACAATATCCAACTATGCAGGGTAGATTCACTCCTGGAATCAAGTGAGAAGTAGTGAGTGGCAAAGTTTCCCCTTGAGAGAATTTATCTAGTGCAGCAAGAACAAAAATAGATTTTAATAAAATCCAATAAAATTTCTATACACAGGAGTTGAAGTGACAAATGAAACTAAGAAAATGTAGTGATTTCCACTTTTATGTATAAACTAATAGTTGGCAGTGACTGACAGAAAGGGATCTGTAACTTGTACATCGCTGAATGGTTGAAAAAAAAGTATTCTAACAGAATGTTCACAAGGCTTTGGTGTTTTAAATATACCAATAACATTTCAATGACATGGGTTGCGGTCTTTTTTTCTAATTAATTCAGTTTTATTTTACGGACTGGCGATTGGGACATTCCAGTGCCCTAAACAAAATTGGATCCAATTTATAATTCTTAATCATTCCGCTTTGAAAATTCTCAAGAAAATTGCCACACTTTCCCCATACTAGTTTGAACTAGTAGTTTCGAACTGGTTTGCAATATTAGCTAAAAACCTTCCCAGTGTTAACTTCTTAGCTGTAAGACCGCAATTATTTCATGTTCCTAAACTTTAGCATAGGTAAATCCTGAAATAGAAACCATGCAATGTCAGCCTAATAGCAGAGGACACAATTGCCACTGAAAAGGAGCAGTAAGTGGATATTTTTTATTTCCATCTGCAACAGTTCAACATTAGTTTCTGTGGTGTTTCGGAACATTTCCTTCATTGTGGTAATTCAGTAATGTCTTCAATTAGCTGAAAATCATGAGACACACACAACACAATATATCTCAGTTGAATGTCAATGAGCCTTGTGAAGAAATTGTTTTCAAATCAGTTTTATTCACATATACAAAGTCATGGCCAGTACAATTAAATAGAAAGAACACAAAACATATTAAAATGAGTGCTATTTAAAAACACATTCTAAGTCACATATTGCTTCAAGCTTCATTTTTCCAAGCTTTTCTCTAAAGTGATTTCAGTGCTCATGACAGTGAAGTGAAGCAGCTTCCCTTTATCTCTGACCTTTCCTAACCCTTTTCTTTATAGGGATTACATAAAGGAGCAGAGACTAACTGAATATATGGCTTTACTATGCCACGTATCTCCACTTGCTAGTAAGGACTTGGGCCTAAAACAGGCACACTTAAAAAAAATTATCCGATTTGGTTTGGTCACTACCCCACTATTTATTCTTTGGGTTTAGCTTTATTTGTTTGCTTTTTCAAAATAGCACACACCAATATATCAGTCCAACTAATCCATGGACAAGAAAGTTAGCAGAAAAGGGTTGGTATGCTTATCATTAATAGCTAATATGGTGAAAATTTAACCCAAATTACTTTTACATCAATTGAAAAGGGAAATTGTAACTAATACGTTTATTATATTGCCTTATAGAATTACATTAAAAGCAAGACTAAGGGTCTTACCAACCTGAAGCTGAAAAATGCCACCTGTTTTTCACACATACACCATGTCAGTCTTCTGAGCTTGAGAAAAAAGGAAAGGGCTTTGTCAATGTTTGAAAACCGAAATGTCTTATCCACTCCAACAAAACCAATTTTCTTGCATTTTCCTGCATTTTAAAATCTCATCTTCTATATCCACCCTTTTAATTCTCACACGGATTCCCATAAAAATCCATGGGTTCCAATTTAAATCCAATTTAAGTTATTTGTTTAGCTTATCAAATGTATTCAATATTTCTTCTTGTTAGAAAATCTCCAATTTAATTTGTTCAGATGGCTCCTCTGTGAGCTAATCCTAAACCACAATCTGACATATTTTTGAGGTGTAGATATAAACATGTATTCTATTAACATATTACTGAGTAAGCATTTACATGATGTACCTTAGCATAGTATATGCCAGATCAAAAGTGCTTATTTCATGTATATGTGGAAGCACTGAAATGTTGGCTGGTGTGCAGTATTGTAGTTATACATTTGTAATCTGGATTTACAGATTCGTAACTGATCTGCATTCAGTAAGACAGTGCAGTATTACTCTAAACCTACATAACTACCACCTTGAGAGCCAGCAGGAGGGATTGGGAAAATAGGGTCAATTCAAATGCAAGGAGGAAGAAAATCGTGTTGCAAATTTTTGTCATGGCTACATTCACTGGTGAGAGAGATGGAAACGTCCCCTTTACTGGAAGTTGAATGGACTTCCTTTGCCTGATCCACCTGGATCTTAAGGTGGACAGGCAGAGTTGTGCCAGGATACATTGCAGATGTAACTAAGTAGCTGACAAAAGCTATGTGCAAGTCTGGCATATAGATTTGAGTAGATCTCAGATTCAAGTCAATTCTACCTATTGCTTAAGATCAGTCATTTCTCAAGAAAGAAGCCAAGTACCCGTGCAGAGAGGCATGATACCTAAAGGGGGCAGAAATGACCAGGATGCAAATGTTTCTTCAACTGTTTGAATCACAGACATTTTTTGTCAACCAGGATAATTCTGCAATGTAGAAAGAAACATGTGTGCCACCCATAGGAGGCAAGGTACAAGTCTCATGTTCAAGTTACTTTACCACCCTGCTAGTCAAATTTAAAATACTGCAATATGTTTAAGAGATGCCCTTTTAAAATCTTCTGATGCACTACAGCTGTGTAATTACCCACAGAAGATATAGCTGCCAATAGGGCAATAAGTTAGAAACACCCCTAGAGTTTTAGAAAAATCGAAGTCAAGAAACTGAAATCTCTGTATGAACCACAATCAGCCAAGCACTATTGCCCTGTAAATATGGTATTTCGGAAAGAGAAATGAGAGCTTTCACATATGATAATTAGCTACTAAAGGTTATTGACTTGTGCTGTGAAGAACACATGGCAATACAAATACAGAGAAGCATGTTTTGGTATTGCATAATATTATCTTACAGTTTCACATCATATATTAATATTACAAAATATTGGTCAGGTTGGAAAAGAAAGCGAGCTCTTTTTGACTGCACCGGAATGGACAGTGTCCTTGATACCTATGAGTGTTTCATGCATTTCATAGCTGAAGGATGTACTGATCTAAATTTAATAAAAACAAAAAAGACATAAACATATGATACAAATTTTCTGAAGATGTGGCAAGGTTTGAGGATGACTACAAAACAATATCTTTATTTCATGATAGTGTCCCTATTTTAAATTACATTAGGTCAGAAGGTATTTCCTTTATATAGGAGAAAACCTGACTCAAGACATATATTTTCTCATCTTTCAAAAGCACCTCCCTTTTCTACACAAGCAACAGAACTCATGCCTGAACATCAGATGGACTGATGTACCCTCCTGATAAAGTGATGTAAAGATTAATCATTTTGTAAACTGAAGGTAAGAAATACTGGAATAGTCAAAACAAAACAAGGGACTACAATTCCAACAAAGAGCCCAAGGAAATGCCTCTAAGGTTTAAAGGAGAACAGAAAGCTGAAATAAGTATCAAAATCGTGTGCCAAAAACCAGCAAAGAAACCAAGTTTCTGGCATATCAGGATTTAATCCTACATATTTTTAAATGAGATACTCACATTTGAAGAATGAATACTAAAACTGAACTGCCTCATAAAAGTTTCTTATTACTGAAGCCACCAGATTATGAGATTTCAGGAAACAACTACTATAGCCAAAAAGTTGTTTTAAGCCTCTTGAAGACTTGCCTATTTAGAGCATGAAATTAAACATGACATGGAATCTCGTAATATGTGTCACAAGCTCCAAACTCACTGTTATGTTATCATGATTACCAATGGCTTCATCCTCACATTTACACACACTCACTATTCAGAGAAAAGGGATATGTTGCACATTTTAAAAGTACAGGAAAATCTTCAGTCAACCTGAGTACTGAATATATCTTGTGGAATGCACACTCGTTTAATCATACTATTAGAAGAGTTTCAATTCAGAGTACTAACATTAGTACAATTAAAATGTTACTATTGCAGAAGCTTACCTAACAAAACTGTTTACAAAACATTTCAGTCCATCTAGATGAAACATTACATTACCACCACCACCTCCACCCAAAATAAAAGAGAAAAAGAATGACATATCAATTTGGGGAACCAAGTCCATGTTACTTACTGCATTACTGAATAGATCTCCACTATTGGTTCATGATTGTCTATGTCATTTGGTTTACGACAGCAAGTAAATACAGCTTTAAAAACATAATCAGAGCACACACTTAATCTATTGCACCAAAATCTGATTCCAGATAGCCACAAAATCCAGAATTGGAATGTAAACTAAACATGTCACTGTAGGTTTAGATTTGGGAGATTTTTTCATAATTCTAAATTGACTGATTCTATGATTCGATTAATCCTAAAAGCTCCAGGTAGTTGCGCAAAAGCTGGCATGTGTCTCCATAGCTTGTGATCCACCAAGCAGATGCATGAAAGGAGATAATAGGTCCATTAAAGTTCACCAATGAAATACATGGATGGGGAATATGTCGCCCTCTGAATGTTGTCCTCATTGCTTATGCTTACCACTGGCTATTCCTGATGGATACAGATTGCAGTCCAACAACATCAAGAGGACCACATATAGGCTTGATGAAAATCACTGCAAGTTTAATTAAAATTGTTTTAAAAGTCAATGGACCCTACATACCTCCTTAAATAATCACAGCATCCTGATTTACAAAGGCTCCTGGCTGCCAATCCTGAGAAAATTGCAATGAAGTCTAACTCTCCGCTTGCCTTACAAGAAAATTAATTTTCCACAGATTGGAGCTGACAAGTTTTAACATTAGAGGGTGGGCTAAATACCTATCAAAATTTCTTTTTGAGTTCTTTCATTTCAAAAATGGGTTCCTTGTACAACCTTCTATGGCTTGCCACTTGAAGGTCATCAGAAGACATCGCTCTTCTTTTTGGAAAAAAGCAGTACAGGGTCTCTACTGCCAAACAGCAACTCTCAGGCTGGAGCCAATTCTCCCCTCTGTCGTTGAGAGAAGTAGCCAAAACACAAACAAGGGTCCCATAATACCTATTTAAAAACATTAGCAGAAACCCTGTATACGCAGTCTGGTATTTTGATGCAGTGTCCTAGTTGTCTTCCAACTCTGTTTCTTGAATTTTGTTTCTTAAAAAGATGGGTCCAGCCAAGTTTTCGAATCACCGAGTTCGTGCTGAATAGCACCTCATGTATTCAGTCATCCAGGGGTTGTCTGCTCCAGAAGATTTCATTCTCCAGGTTTTCTCGACGTCTGCTGAGCGAATCTGTCTCTGAGGCATCTTCCTTTTTTCCACTTGCCTTCTGTTCTTTGCTCTTAATGCAGATTCGTGGATCTAATGGAGACATTTAAATGTCAGTTGCTTTTATAGAACATAAAAATCCCAAGATATTTAAAATGAGACCCAAATACAAAACTGTGTCACCATTTTATTTGTATTACATTGGCCTCCTTTACAGTCCTTTCAACAGGAAGAAGTGATTTATACTGCTGCACTGATTTTACAACCTGTGGGCAATGCATCTATGAATAATGTTCCCACGTGAATAATGTTCTCACCAATGTTCCCTCTTCTTTGTTTATCGGTAGTACACACAGCAGTGATCAATCATATAGAACACTCTCAATAGGGAAACTGTTGCTAGTCTCACTAAAGTACACCTATTGAATCAATGGCATTTATATAAGTCTTGACTTAAAGTAGCCACTTTGAGTCTCTCCTAGTGGAAAGTAAACGTGGGGTATAAATAACAACAAGAACTTGTGAAGTCAGGAGTTTTGGAGCACAATACTCCTCACGATCATGGAAAAAAACAAAGTACGGATTGTTGATGATGCAATCCCAGGATACTGCAGAATTGATGAGAAGCAACTGGAAAAGCTGACACTATATGAAGATTTAAAAATCGAACTGCAAAGACTCTGGCACAAGCCAGTAAAGGTGGTTTAGTGGTCAGCACATTGGGTACAGTGCCTAAAGACCTTGGCCTGGAACCTTTCAGCACCAATTGGTGTTGAAAAAATTACTGTCTGCCAGCTGCAAAAGGCCACCCTACTCAGATCTGCATGCATTATTCACCAATACATCACACAGTTCTAGACATTTGGGAAGTGTCCAACGTGTGATTGAATACAAAAGCCAGCATAGTGATTTTGTTTGCTGTGTACTAATCTTGCTGTGTATTGTATACCAATTGCAATCTCACAGTTCATTCACTGGGCCTGTTCTAATTTAAACTGCCAATTAGAAAGTCTCAAACTGTACCATCAAAAAAAAATAGTTCAGAAGAAAATCAGTATAACTTAAATGGGGATAATGAAAACTATTGCTCTAAGAAACCATGGATTTTTAACTTCCTAGGTACTGGAATCAACTGTAATTTCGTTGGAGAAAAAAATATTTTTGTAAGAGTAATACAGCCAGTCCTCCATGTCCACAGATTCTGCACCCACAGATTCAATCATCCATTTCTTTCCCTTAAAAGCAAACTTTGATTTTGCCATTTTATATAAAGGAAACCATTGTGCTATGCCATTGTATACAACAGCACTTGAGTGTTTATACATTTTGGTAACCACAGAGTCCTGGAAGCAGATTCCAGCAGATACCAGGGCCCCAATATGTATATTATTTTGGGCACTTCTCATGTAAAAATTTGGGAAGATGAGAAATGGAAGAGTCTTGCTTCTTTTTTAACAATGTTTTTGTGCTGCATCATCAACACTGGTAATTTATTAAAATGCCCATTTGTTATCTTGGCTGAGTAATTTTACATGACCAAAAATCCACATTATCTCTTGCTATCAAGTCCCAGCCTCCTATATTCTTGTTTGAATAGGACAGAAAGCAATGGACACTTTCTCTCTGACAAGCAGTATAGGTAATTGTGTTGTCTGTCTCCTTACATCTTTTTCCAAAGCAGACATTCTGAACTGCACATTTGTGTTGCCCAAAGTCCCAACGACTATTGGTATTTCCATTCCTAAAACCCTGGCAAAAACAGGTAGTTCCATAGCAGAAAAACTTGGACATGCTTCAAATTTCTCATTGTTTCTGGTAGAAAGCACACATTATTACCAGCTGTGAAAAAATCCAATTCTTTTCATCTCACTGCAGTTGGGCCAACAGCAAATCCAAATATACAGACTGATTATTTGCTCCTTTAGTGGAGCAAATAGGTCATTTCTCATCCTATATATTTTAAAGGTTTAATACTGGCTATAGGTTCGTGTGAATGTTCCTCATGGGGGTGTGGGATTTAATCTCTACATACTATTAATGTTCATGTTAATAAATTATTTATTATTTATTTTATTATTTCACATGATTATTTGCATGACACTGTAAATCATCATCTTCTCCTGAGAAAATTTATAATATCACAAAGGACTACCACCTCACCTGCTTCATAGGAGTTTTTTTGTTGAGTTCCAGAGCCAGAGAAGCAAATGGCGAAAACAGAAGAACGGCCTGTTGCAGAGTTGCAGAGGAGCATGCTTGCTCCATCAATGTTTAACATTTACACAAATGATCAGCCACTGCCAGAAGGGACAGAGAATTTTATCTATGCTGACGATCGTGCCATCACCACTCAAGCAGGAAGCTTTGAAATGGTTGAACAGATGCTCTCTGAAACTTTAGGTGCTCTTACTGCCTATTACAGGGGAAACCTGCTGATTCCTAATCCATCTAAAGCACAGATGTGTGCTTTTCATCTTAAGAAGCTCTGAGGATTACTTGGGAAGGAATCCCACTGGAGCACTGCAGCACACCCAAATACCTCTGTGAGTCACTCTGGACCGTGCTCTGACTTATAAGAAACACTTTTTGAATATCACAAAAAAAGTGGGTGCTAGAAATAATCTCGTACAAAAGATGACTAGACCAACCTGGGGGTCACAACCAGACACAGTGAAGAATCTGCCCTTGCGCTTTGCTTCTCTACTACTGAATGTGCATGCCCAGTGTGGAAAGCATCTCACCACGTTAAAACAGAGGATGTGCTCTTAATGAGACATGCCACATTATCACAGGATGTCTACACCCCACACCACTGGAGAAATTACACTATTTAGCTGGTATCGCACCATCTGACATCCGCCGGGACATAGCAACCAGCAATCAAAGGACCAAGGCACTGACATCTTCAGCCCATCCTCTGTTCGGATATCAGCCAGCAAACCAATGCCTTAAATCAAGAAACAGCTTTCTAAGATCTACAGAGATACTTGCAAGAACACCTCAGCAAGTGAGAGTCCAAAAGTGGCAGGCAAAAACCCAGCACCTCAATCAGTGCCTGAGACTGGATGAGAAACTCCCTCTGGGCACAAAGAAGAGTGGATGACTTGGAAGGCACTGAACAGGCTGTGCTCTGGCACCACAAGATGCAGAGCTAACCTTAAGAAATGGGGCTTAAAAGTGGAATCCATGACATGCGAATGTGGAGAAGCACAAACCACAGACCACCTAATACAATGCAACTTGTGCCCTGCCACAGGCACAATGAAGGACCTTCTCACAAAGACATTCCAAGTCAAAGGACATTTAGCATAATGCCAATGGTTTTTTTTTTAATTTTGTTTGTGGTTTTAAATGCATTTTAACTGTATTCTTAACTCACTTCTGACACGATAGATAAAAATTTGCATCTAGAGATTATTTCATCTCTTTTCTTGAGATAAGTAGTTCATTCATAAGAAGACCCTTTGCTGTGAACTTTTTCCCCAGAATTATTCATCTGGCATCACCATTTTTGGCCTGGTTTGCCTACCAGATCGAAACAATTTTAAGATACGTGCCATTTTATCCAAATGATATATGATATTTTACTGCTCCTTTGAAATTTAATTATAGGTTTAAATCTTCTTCTGTAGTAGTCTACCACTTAAAGTTCCAATTACACACAGATCTGCTTGTCTGATAAGAATTTACAAGACACCTTGAGAGATTTATATGAATGTACTGAAATTATTATTTGTCAGTTCGTTAGGCAAGTGAGATGTCCAGTCAGCAACTTTTTGGATGATTAATGGTACTGTCTGCCTATAAAACATTCCTGTTGTAAACTTAACCGCTACTTTAAAGTCTGGAAAGCTTTGAGTATGAATGTTTCTTTTTCAATTCAAGTGGTTACAAAAAAAATAGAAAGTTGCATTAGATAGACTATATTTGAATTATACTATATTTTAATTAAAAAGCAACTCCTTTATTTTCAGCTCCTTTTGTGTAAATAGGAAAACAACTGTGATGAGATGTGGGCCACCTCAGTAGAGTGGATATGCTCCCTAGCCATCAGAATGAGCAATTCAGATCTAGAGCTGCTCTGGGACATATTTATCCCAGGCTAACCTGCCCAGTATAGACGAAGGCCTGAGAAAGAGAAGTGGGAAAGGTGTGTCCCTCCAGACACTTGTTAGGTTGCAATATGCATCAGCACTTGCTGCACTCCTTACAAGTCATCTTCCAGATCCCAAAACACACCGAAGAGTACATTCAAATGTAAGAATCTACAATTTGTGAAAGTTACTTCCTTCAGTTCAAATGAACTGCAGACATTTTTACAAATCAGACATGTAAAGCAGGGGTACAACTAGTGCAGCCCTAAAGGTGTTGTTGGACTGCAGGGCCCATCAATCCTACCCAGCCCAACCAGTGAGGAATGCTAGGAGATAATTCCATACACACCTGAAAGATCACATATTCACCATCACTGCTATAAAAGAAGGTATAAAAACAACATTGCTTCATTGTCAGACAGGGTAAAAAGGACGTGGCCTTGATGTTGCTGGAATTAACGGGTTTCATCACTCATGACCCCAACTGTAACAGCTGGAGCTGATGGATATTGAAGTTCAGCACTATCTAAAGAGAGCTACAGGCACTTTAACTTTGTCACAGGATGAATATCATGATCTGTTACATCCCTCTGTCTGTCTAAAAAGTCAAAGTATGTCAGTTGGCTGGTTGGTTTGTACTATAAAGGCTTCTTACATGGCTAGGTGGATTCAGACCAAACTCAACACACATTTCCAGCTTAATATAATTGACAAGTTTGAACTTTAAAAAAAACAAAAAAACACCCCTTTTGGGCCCAGAGCTCGGGGGGCGGGGGAGGAACAAAGCAGATTGTTTGTGAGCAATGAAGTGGCCTCTGTACTGAACTGCACTATAGGAGTCTACACTTACCATATAATGCTGTTTCAAACTGCATTTTATGGCTGTGTAGAAGGGGCCTGGGAAAGAAAGCAAATGAAGTAGAACTGGCTGCGGCTAGGTGATGTGTGAATGAGGGAAAGAGAGGGAGGAAGAAAAGTAAAGAAAGGAGATAAAAAGAA